ACCGTCACGCACCTCACTCGATTTGGGTCTGACCATTCACCCCTCCTCATTAGATGTCGTTTTTCGAGCACTCCTCGCCGCGCTTCCTTTAGGTTCCAAAACATGTGGGTTCGCCACCACTCCTTCCACGACACTGTCAGGGATTCCTGGCTTCAGCCGACTGGGCTCTTCGGGATGCGCAATCTCGAGGCGAAGCTCGGCAGACTGCGGCGTCGGTTGAGACAGTGGAACTGGGATGTTTTTGGAAACCTTCATCACCGCCTTACTGCAGCTCAGAGTGCGCATGCGTCGGCTGAGCGGGCCTATGACCTGGATCCCACTCCGGAGAATAGGACCGCCATGCACCGCTGCCACGCCGAGTACCAGCTCCGACTCCTTATGGAGGAGGACTTCTGGAAGCAGAAGGCGGCCGTTCGCTGGGTGGCCGAGGGCGAACGGAACACTAGGTTCTTCCAGGGCTACGTTAGGCAGAAGCGTGCTAAGTCGTACATCCATAGTATCGAGGCTGATGGGTCATCCTTGACCCAGGAGGCTCAGATTCGGGAGTCGGCTGTTGCTCACTTCCAGACCCTCTTCACCTCTGACAGAGGGTCCCTCGTGGCCCCGAACGCTTCTTTTTTCCCCACCATCCCTCCTTCGGTCGATCTCATTGGCCTCTGTGAGCTCCCGAGCAGGGAGGAGGTTAGGGATGCTGTATTCGGGATTGATCCCAACAGCGTTTCTGGCCCGGATGGTTTCTCCTCCCTCTTCTATCAGGTCTGCTGGGATATTGTCGAGACTGACGTCCAGGAGGCGATGTTGGATTTTTTCTCCGGCCACCGGATGCCGGATTCCTACACGTCTACCTCTGTCGTCTTGATCCCCAAACGACCCAATCCGAGCTCTTGGTCCGATTACAGGCCCATCAGCCTGTGTAACGTGACCAACAAGCTCATTTCGAAGATTCTTAACGGTCGTCTTTCCCCTCTTCTCCCCTCTCTCATCTCTCCGAACCAGAGTGGATTCGTCAAGGATCGGGTCATTAGTGATAACATCCTTCTGGCCCAGGAGATGATCCACGACATCTCCCGAGCGGACTGGAAACGGGCTCCGAATATCGCGCTGAAGCTAGACATGGCTAAGGCGTATGATAGGGTTGAGTGGCCGTTTCATCCGCGACTCTCCCCATATGACCTATAGCACCTGTGGCTATGGTCCTACCGTCTCTCACCTCTCTTATGCGCCTTTTGGAGCACTATGGCTCGGTCACCGGTCAGCTAGTCAGTGTGCAGAAGAGCACCTTCATCCTCTCATCTACCACCGTGGACAGGTGGGCTCAGCGGGTCCACGACATTACTGGCTTTGCGCGTGGCGACCTTCCCATTACTTACCTCGAGGTCCCTTTATATAAGGGCAACCTCACGAGAGCGCTCTTTGCGGGCGTCAGGCAGAGGATGGTCGATAGGATCTCTGGTTGGTCGCATAGATATCTTTCTTTCGGTGGTCGGCTAGCGCTGATCAAGAGCACTCTTAGCTCTCTTCCGATTCACTTGTTTATGGTCCTCGACCCCCCTAGGTCTACTCTTGACGAGCTTGACCAGATTATGGCTCGTTATTTCTGGGGGTACGAGGACGGGTCTGGGAGGGGGAGACGTACTCACTGGGTGAGTTGGGATTCTATCTGTCGCCCCCTCCCCGAGGGTGGCCTTGGCATCCGCCGCCTTAGGGACATAGTTACAACTTTCTCATACAAGCTGTGGTGGCGCTTCAGGGAAGGAAAGTCGCTTTGGGCTCAGTACCTTCGCGGCAAGTACTGCCCTAGACGTGCCAACCACCCTTGTTGGGTCAAGGCTGTTGATCATGATAGCAGACAGTGGCGGCGCCTCACTAGGGTCAGGAGGCGAGCCCAGGATCACATCTTTTGGGTTTTGGGCGGGGGCGATGTCAGTGTCTGGGATGAGTGGTGGGTAGGTGATAGGCCGTTGTCTAGGGATAGGCAGGTGTCGCATTCCCCCTACCTGCTCGTGAGCGACCTCTGGACGGACGGGTCGTGGGATAGGGGGAAGCTTGATAGGGAGTTGGGGGCTGGTGCGGGTTTTAGCGAGCAGTTATTAGATCAGATCCAGCAGATCCCTATCTCGGGGGACGGTTCAGATAGCATGAGGTGGAGACTTACATCATCAGGTGTGTTTTCTACTACCTCGGCTTGGGAGCAGATAAGGCTGAGGGATCGGCCTAATCTCCTCTTCGGGGCTATCTGGAGTGACCTTTTTACGCCTACTATTTCGGTATTCCTTTGGCGCCTTCTCTTGCGCCGGATACCCGTCGATACTGTGCTACACGCGAGGGGGATCTCCTTCCCCTCTCGGTGTGTGTGTTGTTCTGAGACTGGACGCCATGAGACTGAGACCTTTACCCACCTTTTTCTAGAGAGTGAGATTGTGAGGAGAGTGTGGGAGCATTTTGCCACTTGGACTCATATATCCCTACCCACCACATACAGTTTTTTTGAGCTCCTGAGTTTTTTCTCACAGAGCACACACCTTAGACACGTGGGCTTCCTCATTCCTTGTCTGATCCTTTGGTTCACCTGGACAGAAAGGAATAGTGCGAAGCATAGGGATATTACTTTTATGTTTTCTCACATTGTTTTGCAGGTTGAGAGACACATTTCACTCCTCATCTCATTGGGCAGGCTCACGGCCCGAGACTGGACAGGCTGCACGCCACCGCATCGCTACATGGTGGCCCCACCACCGCCTGTTCGGCCTCCTCGGGCCAGAGCTGTTGTTTGGCTTCGACCTGACTCTCCGTGGGTCAAGCTGAACACTGATGGCTCCTTTGATCGCCACACTGGAGTTGCCGGAGGAGGAGGCTTGATTCGGGACCATAGCGGCGCCCTCATCACCGCCTTCCACGCGTCCATTCAGGCCTCCTCGAGCTACGATGCAGAGATTCAGGCACTACAGATTGGCCTTCAGATTGCTGTCCACCTCTCTAGTCATATATGGATCGAGCTGGATGCTGCGGCTGTCGCTACCCTCCTGACTTCGGGCCATCAGGGCTCGTGGCAGATTCAGCACCCGCTTATGCGCATTAGAGATCTACTTCAGTCAGTCCATCACAGGATCACGCACATCTTCCGTGAGGGGAACAGACCGGCTGATTACCTGGCCAGCCTTGGCGCCACCATACCAGGCACACATACATTCCAGACCGACACTGCTCCACTCCGCCTTCGCACTCTTGTACGGATGGACCAGCTTGGATATCCAGCGTTCCGCTTTCACTAGTATAGGATTTCTATTTTCATTAGTATAGACATTTATCTCGGGCATCTGTTAGCCCGAAGATCGACTTTATATTGTAGTTTTTGTTTCTTTTTCGTTTTTCGGTTTTTCTTTCTTGTTTTCCTTTTGTTTTTGTTTTTGATTGTCAGACTATGTAGACCTTTGTATCTGGTTCGTTGACATTTTGGGCTCCCGTTTTTGGGGCCCTGATCTATGCACAGGTTGGGGATCCAGCCCAATCCCCCGCCCTTCCGGGGCGTTGTTTGTTTAAAAAAAAAAAAAAAAAACCTAGCAACAAAAGACAACTAACCTAGCAGCAAGAAAGAAATAACCTAGCAACAAAAGACAACTAACCTAGCAGCAAGAAAGAAATAACCTAGCAACAAAAGACAACTAACCTAGCAGCATCAGACAACTAACCTAGCAGCAAGAAAGAACTAACCTAGCAACAAAAGACAACTAACCTAGCAGCAAAAAAAAAATAACCTAGCAACAAAACTCAACTAACATAGCAGCTACAAATAACTAACCTAACAACAACAAACAACTAACCTAGCAAGAAAGAAATAACATAACAAAAGACAAATAGTCAACGGTCAACGTCGGAAGTCAACGCCGGAAGTCAACGAGTTTCGCCGGAAGTCAACGGTCAACGCCGGAGTCAACGGTCAATGGTCATAATAATATTTAAATAATTAAAAATAAAGAATTAAATAATAAAAATAAAAAATTATTATTTAAATCAAGATCTAAATCTTGTGGCTAGGAATGAGTCTCACGTTCTCACTTTAAATAATGGGATGCATTGGAACCAATCCCTCTATATATATATATATATATAGATTATTTGTTTCCATACCCAAACGGTTTTATTAGGACAGATATGTTAAAATTGAAGTGGTTGACATGTAAATCCGATTGACAAATAAAGCATTGAGATTTGGTTTAAATCTATCTTATCTCGGCATATTTACAAGATTATATTATTAAATTGTTTTGATTCCATTAATTGCGATTGTTAAGGAATTTTAAACGATCAGATTATATTATTAAATTATTTTAATTCCATTAGTTGCGATTGTTAAGGGATCTTAAACTGATCGTTATCAAGATTTTGTTATAAAGACTTTTCTAAAATTATTATAAATAGGGTGTAATTAATGAATGATGGAAAAAGTTTATTAAAAGTGATTTATGTTAATTCTTATTATATATATGTATATATATAGAAGTGAAAAAATAAACAAAAGCATTTGAATCAAATATTGCAAAACATAACCCACTTTGAAGAATGGGCCTGAGCCCGCGGGTCAGCATTAGTAGATCACATCTACACTTGCTTCCTCACGCAATTCAACAGGTCTTGAAGGATATAACAATCAAATCAAGCAGAAGAGAAAAAGATTATACAGTATTTCCGTGCACACCTGATATTAAAACTCGGGTGAATGTATTATCTTCAATGAGAGAGAACAGATTCTGCAAACTACATATATATGTATATATAGAGAAAAAGATGACAGAATGAAAGAACCAGTGACAGAACGAAAAAGTTGTTCACACTATTCTCAAATGAACTGGTCAAACACTGGAGCAGCCAGCAGTACAGAAAACATGAAACAATCAATTATTTGAAGGTTTTCAGGTACAGCTGACCTTAGAAATAGGCATTTGCAGAAGTGTTTATTGTGTGCTTCTCTAATTTCTTAGGGAAAATTGCATACTTTTCTATCATTTACAATTGTGNCTTGTGCAGATAAGTGCAATTTTCAAAACATTAATCATGTGACCAACACAAGTTTGATCTTCCAGATTCAAACGGTTATCGAGTATTCCTGGGGACAAAGAGTGAACTCGGACATAGTTCTTCACAAGTGAGACGAGGTCCCCACCATCATCGAGAGGCTGCACAGGGGTTTTTCCGGTTAACAACTCCAAAAGAACCACTCCATAACTGTAAACGTCGCATTTTTCTGTCACCTTCATAGTGTAGGCATATTCTGAGGAAAAAAAAAAAAGGAAAAAAAATGATCTTGTCAATCAAGTAAAACAAAACTGTGATTCCAAACTGAGAATGCATTAAAGCTTATGATAATAGGGTCTAAAAATTCAAAGGCTTCGAGAATTCAATTTCATAATACTTGGGTACTATTGAGTTATTAAGCCACCATAAAAGACTACAAACAATATTTTGACTAATTGTGTTGTTTCAACCAATAATAAAGATAAAAAGTTGAATGGAAAAAAAACGATGGCACTAGGAACAATGAACTTCAAAATATAAATTTTAATAGCATTGATTTGTTTAATTCTAGTATACCGTATTGAAAAATAAAATAATGGAATATTGATAAGAAGGAACTTGTTTGTGCCTACTAATGAGAGATCATTCATTAGCAGCCATTCTACGAGTTAGTGTACTTGTACAAGTACACGCACGTTCCAAACTCCTGTAAATTGAATTTTTCAACAGATATACATACTATCAAATTGAAATGTCATACTCTGAAAAACAATATAAACAAAGTATGACGAGTCGACCCGCCTAGCAGTTAGGTCACCTCACACATGAATTTATGTCGATAAATAAAAAGTAAAAAGAACATATATACACAAACATATAAAACTTTCAGGAAAGAAAATTAGCACAGGAGCACTTAATTGTCGAAAACCCATACACAAGGTACAAAGAAAGCCACTCACCAGGCGCTATATAACCGTACGACCCAGCCACTGCTGACATCGTCTTCGACTGCGGCATATCAATCACTTTAGCCAACCCAAAATCACCCACATGAGCTTCAAACTTATCGTCAAGCAATATATTGTTCGATTTAATGTCCCGATGAATAATCCTGGGCCTGCAGTCGTGATGCAGATAAGCAAGACCCTCTGCAGCCCCAAGAGCAATCCTAAAACGCGTGGCCCAATCCAGCTCACAACCCAGCCCATGAAGCCACTCGCCCAAACTGCCCCTCTCCATGTACTCGTAGAAAAGAAGATTCGAGCCCTGGTGATAAACAAAACCGTACAGCTTCACAATATTACGGTGCCTGATATTACCAAGCGTCGAAATCTCCGCACGAAATGTGTTGTCAACGTTATTGTTACTGTTCCCTTCTCTATTGGAACTGAGTTTCTTAACAGCAATCACTTGAATCGACTGCAAGACTGCCTTGTAGACCGTCCCAGCTGCCCCTCTCCCAATAACGAAAGTCTCGTCAAAGTTGTTCGTGGCCTCAACCAGGTCACGAAGGGTAAAACCGTCTTTTGGAGGGAAATATACGTCGGGCTCCACAGGCTTTTCTCTAAGAGAAGGGATTCTAACCGGATTTCGATACTTCATCACGTACAAGAGAACTATTATCAGGACAAGAGAGATGAAACCTATGGAAAAGGCAATTACGGTGATGATTTTCCTCCGAGTCGAACCATTGCTTTCGAAAGTAGGAGGATTATCAGTGTAAACATAACAAATGCCAAGCGGGCCCCCACAAAGCCCGTTGTTCCCGATAAAGCTAGTGGCACTCATGTTCTTAAACAGTGGCGAAGAAGGCAGAGGGCCCGTTAAGTCGTTGTACGAGAAATTGCAGCCGAGAAGGCTCGTGAGACTTCCAAACGAGCTTGGAATGCCGCCACTCAAGTGATTGTTGTTGAGAAAAATGTACTCCAACAAAATAAAGTTCCCGAGCTCTGGTGGTATGTTACCGGTTAAATTATTATAACTCAGGTTCAGTGCAATTTGCAGACTGACAAGATTGCCCAACTCCACTGGTATTGCATAAGATAATGAATTCCCACCAATCTGCAGTTCGGTCAGACGAGAGAGATTTCCCAAGCTCACGGGTATATTTCCGGAAAACTTATTATCCGATAAAATAAGACGTTCAAGCATATAAAGAGTCCCTATCTCATTTGGTATTGTACCGAAAAACTGGTTCCGGCTAAGATCGAGCCTTTGTAAAGCCTTGCAGTTGCCAATTTCACGTGGTATGTATCCACTGAAAGAGTTTGACGAAATATTAAAAGACACGAGCTGCTGCAAGTTCCCAATCTCCTTCGGCAGCTCAGATGTGAAGTAATTTCCTGACAAATCAAGCCTCTGTATTTTCTGACAGTTTCCAACTTCTGGACTTAAGGGACCAGTAAAATTGTTCTGTCCCAACTCAATACTAGAGATGTTGGGTAATTTACATATATCAGAAGGGAATATCCCGTTAAATTTATTACCAGTGAGGCAAAGCCGAACTAAAGAAGTGCAGTTGACAATGTCTGAAGGGATTCTTCCAGACAACTTGTTTGATGCAAGATTTAGGAGAATCAAGTTAGAATTTTGACAAATAAACGGAGGGATTTTACCCGTTAACTGATTGTTGCTAAAATCGACGGCCCAAAGCACACTGTGAAAGCCGAGGCCCTGTGGTATGACACCACTCAGATTATTATCAAAAAAGTATAACTGTCGAATGCTAGGAAAATATTGGAAGCTAGATGGTATGGGACCATTAAGTTGGTTCATCGACAAGTCTAACTTCGTTAAATTCCCCAAATTACTAAGTTCGGCTGGGATAACGCCACTAAGCTCATTCTCAAACAAGAAGAGCAATTGCAGACCCTTCACTCGGGACAATTCCCATGGAATCTCCCCAGATAAATTATTCTCCGAGAAATCGATTTCTGTTCCTGAGCTAAGATTCCCTATTTCCCTCGGAATAGTTCCATTCAATCGATTTCTGTACAAGTACAGCTTCCTTAGAGACTGCATATTCCCGAGTTCGGGAGGAATTCTTCCAACAAGATTGTTTTGGTACAAAGCAAGAATCTGGAGACTCGTACAGTTCTCGAACTCCTTTGGTATAAATCCAGAAAACTGATTACCCCAAAGAATGACATCTGTCAAGTTCTTGAGCTTGCCGAGTTCTTTAGGCAAATTACCTACCAGTTGGTTTTGCGCGAGACCAAGAATCTCCAGGCTCACACAATTGCTTATCTCAGCTGGTAAACTTCCAGTAATTGCATTTTGACCCACCCGAAAGATTTTCATGCTTCTCAAGTTACCCAAAGACTTTGGCACTGAACCCGTGATATTGTTGCTGTACGCAATAAACTGAACAAGAGAGGTAAGATTTCCGAATTCCTCGGGAATGGGACCCGTAATATGGTTGTTGCATATATTTACGTTTGTCAACATCGACAGGGTACACAATTCCACAGGAAAATCTCCTTTGAAATAATTATTGTTCAAGTTGAGAGTTACCAGTCCTGAACATCTCGAAATCTCCTTTGGGATACTCCCTGTGAACCCATTAAACGAAAGATCGAGATATGTTAGAAAGGAGAGAAGGCCAATGCTGGAGCTTATAGAGCCAGAAAGATTTCTTGAGTTTAAATCGAGGGACCACACGACTTGACGGTTGTCTGATGTGCAATTCACTCCAAACCAATTACAAGGAGTCTCATCACTAGAATTCCAACTCGAAAGAAAGTTATAGGGATCGATAATGGTGTTTTTCAACTCCAGGAGGTACAATCCTTCTTGACTCAGTGAACTTGCAGGACAACTTAACAGCATTACTAAGGACAAATGGATCGCAATCCACCTGGAAAAACGGTCTTTTCCCAATTGTAACACACGATGCATTCTGTAATTGATTTTTTATCTACAAATGACTGAATGAAGAAGACAAGCCAGTCCTCGTTTTCGCTTGGGTGTCATTCTGAAAAGATGGGGCAAAATTATTATGGAATAATGTTAAAAGTGTGCAGAGAACTCCAAACAGGCATAAAAACAAACAGCATGGAGATATATCATCAGTCCTTCAAATGGGTGTTAAGGCATATATACTAAAAAAAGAAGGGCACATATCAGGAAAATAGACAAATTCAATGAATTAAGAGACAGATTTTACAGAAAGGAGAATAGCTGCTTATCATACGTACCTCATATTTCCATAGTCAAACATCAAATTCCACCAATTCAAAAGTGATGCCTTGGGAAGAAACAGAAAGCATGAATGAAATGAACTGAACAAATGTTCAAATTGTGCTCAAGAATGAAAACACCCATAAACTTCAGCCCGTTTTCTCAAAATAATTCGAATCATAATGCAAAATTTGAGGTTTAAATACGTGGAGAGAACAAATGGAAAAAGAAAAACAATGGGGGGCGCTTTATATCGGTTTAATCAAAAAAGATTAGCGCTAACACTCAAGCAACTCCATATCTAGAATCTCAGAAAGGGGTTTTCCGTTTTCATAATAATGGACAAAGAATACTGAAAAAATGATTAACAAATAATAATCTTGGTCAGCTGAAGGAAGGTCGTCGCCCAAAAGTTTCAACTGCTCTCAGTGTATTAATTAATATTTTTATGTAGACATTCATCATCAGTTACAGCTACTAAATCAATGTTTACTGCTATTTTTTTTCCTTTGTTTCGTTTATATAAAAGATAATATTATGTATGTTGTGTGGCCTTCAGATACCCTATAATTGTATTTTCTTTTGTTCCTTCTATTTGTTACTCATTTTATATTCCTCTTTCTTGCTTTGCTGTTGCTTCCTTCATAATAGTTCGGAATAGTTTTCTAAGTGCTTGGAAAATGCGCAAAAAGGTAACAACTTTTCAAGGATGAAGAAAGGATGAAAGTTGCTTCCCTTATTCTATCACTCTCTCAATATTCAATGTCAAGAATATTGCTGCTTTGTGATTATTTTATTTTACATTGACAACTTCAAAAACTACACTATGGATTATTATTATTATAATTATTCAGCCTTCAATTATCAATGGTTTTAGCGGGGGTAGATTTATTAGAGACTGCGTGTGCCTATGCAAAAATCATGTGAATATTGACCTCGAGGCGTTTCAAAGTTTCAACAGAGAGAACAAAAATAAAATGAATTAGAGAGCATGTCCAATCATACTAATTTTACAGTTTTAACAATGTCATCAACTCTAACACATTTCATCTATAATTTCTTTCTAAAAGAATATTCATATATATTCTTTTCTAATTTTATTAGTTTATTAAATAATTTTACAAATTACATTTTAATGCATGATGCTTGCACAAAATTTATATATTTATTTATATACAATAATTATTTATTAAAAATATATTTTTTTATCATAAGACCACGTGAATTTTATCACAAACATTAATTTATATAAAAAAAAAACATCAACACAAATATTAAGGATACAATACTATAACAACTAAGGAACAAAATACAACATTAGTTATTGTCATCATAATTTTTTCCCACAAATGCGCGGAGTTCAAAGTGATAGACTTATCCTTGATTCTTTTATGTCGAGCAATAAATTATTGAAAAGAGACGTGATCTCGCGGTTCTGGAGTAACCATAAAAGCGCCAAATTGAACATCATTTCTAATTGGTGCACTAAGATCACGTTGATCTTCGACATTCATATTGTGCAAAATAAGACATGCTTTCATTATAACATTAAGCACCTCTTTTTTCCAGAAATGACCGAGACCCGGGACGATCGCGAATCTTTTTTGCAGAACTCCAAATGTACGCTCAACATCTTTTTTAAATTTCTCTTGTCTCATTTTAAAGATTTCTTCCATTGGATTTGATGGTTCAACAAACGACTGAACGATAGTGGACCATTTCGGATATATATCATCTGCTAAATAATAACCCATATTAAACTGTTTACCTTGAATGGAATAATTAGCTGGTGGAGTGATACCTTCAGCAAGATTTGACATTAGAGGAGATGCTTCAAAACATTAATGTTATTATTTGCACGTGGCATAACAAAATATACGTACCATATCCATAGATCATAACCTGCCACATGTTTCAAAATGATTGTTGGTTTTTCTTCAACGTCCAGAATATTGACCAGCCCATGCCTTAGGGCAATTCTACCATTCCTAGTGCATGCAGTCCAAGCTACCTAACATACCTGAAAAACCACGTTGTTCACCAATATCAAGCAATCTAGCGATATCATCATGATTTGGTGATCTAAGATTTTGTGCTTCAAAAACTTCAACGACTGTCGAACAAAATTTCTCTACTCATTCATTTGTTGTTGACTTGGAAATCTTAAGATATTCATCAACACCATCTGCAGTAGGGATGTCAATTCGGCCCGGACCCGTACTGGCCCGCCCCGCGGCCTTTGGGGTAGACCTGACCCATCCTATTTTCAAAACGGGCTAGGTCGGGTATTGGAATCCGACCTGACCCGACCTACCCTAACCCGAACTTTTGAAGAGCTCCTGAATTAGAGACTTGAATATCCTATAATGTCTGGCATGATTTATGCTAATATTGCCAGTATTCTTTAGCAGAAAAAAAAAAACTTCTGATTTTATTTTTCTGAGTTAATTGGTTTATATTTTAAGTTTATGGAAGAAGCACTTACATCCCTTATTTTACATGCAAGAACTGATGGGACCATCCAAAGCTGTCCGTTCAAAGTAAAGAAGATCCGTTGAAGATAAACGGGGGACCGATCACGAGGGCAAGGGCTAAGAAAATGAAGGAAGCCATGAGTGTTCTTATTGCTGAATGTCAAAAGAAGATGGACCGAATCCCGACTGAAGGCAAATTGGTGAATATTCTTCATGTTGATGGGCCAGATTGTTCGCATAAAGACTAATCTATGGATAGAAGACTTAATTTCGTCTATTGAGTGAAGCTCAATTAAAGTGTCCATTACTTTGTCCATTTTCAGCATTTTTGAGACCAAAATGGCTCTTTAGTTATCTTAGAAGTCAAAAGGTCATTCAAACCTCATGTAAGATTCATTATGTGGTCAAAACTATGTTTTTAGTGCTTAATGAGTCCCAAAAACGGGATTAACTCATTAGCACCATTTGTAGCCTTTAAAAAGGCCATTTTATGTTTTAATGAATATTATGAATATTGCTGAATATTAAAAATCACTTTTGTGAGTTTGAATTCTCTTTTGTAGAGTTTCAAATGTTTTAAGAACTTATCAAGATACTTGAGCAAGATCTTGTGGCGTTCACCATATCGAGGTTCCTAGCTGAGTATATAGCTAACGGGTTGAGGTTTCCAAGCTCTAGGTACGATCAAATTAGATCTCCGATCTGGGATTCCGCTGCCTAAATATACGTTTGGTTCTTGGATCAATATATCCAATGGGTCTCACGTGTTATCCGTATCAGTTTGGTATCAGAGCAATCTGGTATTGATCTGATTTCTATCTTTTTTACATTGTTTTGTATTGAAAAAAAAAAAGAAAAAAAAAACNAAAAAAAAGTTCCTTGTATTTTCTACGAGGATTGCTAAAAAGAACAAGGGAAAAATCTGTTCATTGAAAAAAAAACAGACCTTATATTGTTCTACAAAATTTATCTTGATAGGTTTTATGTTAATTGAGCCTACGAAAGAGAATTCGGAGTGGTAAAAGGCAAGAGTGTGTGAGCTCATTAGAGGGGAGGTAAAAGCCTACGAGTGAAACACGAGTGTCGTGAGGGCTATATTGAGTGATACACGAGTGATTTGTGAGATTTGAGTAATGGCGGATAATTCAGCCAATGCGGGAAATGAATTCACCATTCAAGCTATGCAGCAACATTTTGCAAGACTTGGGAATGTTCTCGAAGGCATTATCGATCGTTTGGAGAGGTTGGAACAACAAGATCATAGGAGACACGACAATCATCAATTCTATCAACCTGATTCTGACGAGGAGGAGGGTTATGAGCCTCTACGCAATGGTAATAGAAGGGGAAGAAGAAGGCTAGATAATGAAGTAGATAATGACTTGGGAAGATGGTGTAGTAGAATCTGAAAGTGAGCATGAAGCCAGCGATGACGAGCAAGCTGAGGAAGAGACACCTGAAAATGGAGAGCTTTTGGTGGTGAGAAGATCTCTCAACATGCAAATTAAGGTGGAGGATGCTCAACAGCAAAGGGAGAACATCTTTCATATGAGATGTTTAGTTCTTGGGAAGGTTTGCATGCTGATTATCGATGGAGGATGTTGTGCTAATGTCGCTAGTTGCGAAATGGTGGAGAAGCTGAATTTACCAACCACGAAGCATCCCAATCCATATAAGCTGCAGTGGCTAAATGATTGTGGAGAAATTGGAGTGATGAAACAAGTGTTGGTGTCATTTTCAATTAGCAACTACAAGGATGAGATCCTATGTGATGTAATACCAATGCATGCTAGTCATATCCTTTTGGGTAGGCCATGGCAATTTGACAGAAGAGTGACTTATGATGGTTTTCTTAACCGTTACAGTCTAAAGCATGAAAACCGGAGCATTCAACTTGTTTCTTTGAATCCGCATCAAGTGCAAGAAGATCAAGTCAAAATGTCTCAATCAAGAAAAATAAGAGAAAGTGAGAAAAAGAAAGAAAAAAATGAGAGGAAAAATTTGAGAGAAAAAAAGAATGGAGAAAAAAATAAAGAAAAAATGTGTGAGATTGAGGGAAAAGAACTAAGTGTGGTTGAGGGGAAAAAAAGGTTGAATTTCTATGCAAAAGCCAGTGAGATGAAGAGGGCAATATTTGAAAGGAAGATTGTTTTAGTGATGGTGCTTAAGGAGTCGATTTTGAACACTAACGAACTAACCCCATCTTTGCCGAGTACTTTTGTGTCTCTTTTGCAGAAATAGAAGACGTGTTCCCCAAAGAAGAGCCAAGTG